GAACACCGGTTTGTTCCTTTCTCCTTTCTCACTCCCTTTCTCTCTCTTTCACCATGCCACGAGGCTCTGTACGAGGAAGCAGACGTGGACGCGGCCGCGGGTATGCCGTCGAGGTTACCCGTCGCCGCTCGGGTAGGGCTTCGACCTCGCCATACGCGCGGACTGACGGCATGCGCGCCTTCGCGCCTGATGCCTCCGACACACCGTCAGCAGCTAGTTCAGACTTCTGACCCCGCTCCAGGCACCGACGCTTCTATGCAGGACGAGCCCTCATTGCTCTCCCCGGACATCATTTCCTCAGCCGTTATGAAGATGAACGCCCTCCACTCTCTCCTCGAACGTGTGGAACGCCTGGAGAACAGACAGTGCTGAGTCTGATCTGGAAGCCGATCTCTCCCACGCGCGTGCTCCGCACCCGAAAGATCGCTCCCACGCTCCGAGCGTCAAGCTCCGGACCTATCCTGCCCGGAACTTCCAGTTCTATCGGAACCCCGACTTTGCCAGGACCTCCAGTTCTCTCCAAGCCCTCGGTTCTACCCACACCGCCACGTCGCGCGATTGAAAAAATCCAGCGCGGAGAGTTTGTGGAACTTGAGGAACTCTTGCCGGAAAATTTCAGCTCCCAGGGACAGGAGCCAATACAACTGGTTACAGCTGGCGGCGACATGGCTCAGCTCTTGCTCAACCTCAGCGCAAAGCACACGCGCGCGATCAACGACTTCTCGGCTTGGCTGGAGGCCTGGACGATCTACATGGGCATCGTCGTTCTTGCTCGTCCTGACCGAGCTCATGAGCTCGTCTGCAACCAGCACATACTTTGTACTGCGAACCAACAGTTCACGACGTCTGCTGTGCTGAACTATGATCGAGCATTTCGCCAACACACCGCCAGCATGGCACTGCGCTGCGACGTGATCAATCAGACGCTGTGGAGTATTCGCCTACTCCGCTCTCCCCGTCTGTCATGCAGACGTCTGCTGTGCTGAACTATGATCGAGCATTTCGCCAACACACCGCCAGCATGGCACTGCGCTGCGACGTGATCAATCAGACGCTGTGGAGTATTCGCCTACTCCGCTCTCCCCGTCTGTCATGCAGACGTCTCCTGTGCTGAACTATGATCGAGCATTTCGCCAACACACCGCCAGCATGGCACTGCGCTGGGACGTGATCAATCAGACGCTGTGGAGTATTCGCCTACTCCGCTCTCCCCGTCTGTCATGCACCAAATGCACGCTCCAAAACAGCCGCGACCGCTGCCTGCCCACATGCCGCAGCTCAACACGCGCAGCCCTTTCCATCAGTGGCGGGCAGCACCCGCCAAGTCTGTTTTAACTTCAACCGCGGCAGGCCCTGTTCCCGCACACCCTGCGACCGTCTTTACGCCTGCAGCTCATGTGAAGACAAAGGACATGCCGCCTCATCCTGCACCAGCACCACCCGCTTCAGGTGGCAGCGCCCTGCAGATAGCCACGAGAAGACTTAGAAGCCCACTGAGAAAAAGTCAGCCGACTTCCACTCCCCTGAACACTGTTCGCTTTCACACATTACTGCCCTCCTCGGAATTGTGCTTGACACGGTGCGCATGGAAGCCCGTCTCCCAGACGACAAACCGACGGACCTCCGCGAGCTCCTCAGCGAGCTGTCACGCTGCACCCAGACCACGCAACGCAAACTCGATCACTTCCTGGGGAAACTCTCCTTTGCGTCGAGCGTCGTCGTACCAGGCAGAACATTTACGCGGCGCTTATGGGATATCAACAAGAGGTTTAGCCGCGCCAAGCCCTATTTCCGTATCACTCTGACAGGCATTCCAGCAGCTGGCACCATCGGCACAGCAAGCCCCGGACACTGCAATCCGCCTCCCTCTCCTGGACTGATGCAGTAGGTCGCCGACCTGGCAGCCATCACACGGCGCACGTACGCCACTGGCGAAAGGAAATTTACGCAATTCTGTGCGTTGCAGAGATGGACGCCCATGCCGGCTACAGACACGATGCCCAGCTGCTTCGCAGCACACCTCACACAATCGGTTCAACCACAGACAATTCATGTCTACATGGCCGCAGTACGCAACATGCATCTCGAAGCCGGATTCCGAGATCCAACGATGAATGCATTGCTGCCGCCACGTGTTATGCGAGGCATCAAGAGGACGGCGACTGACCCGGCAATCCAGCGCACTCGCCTCCCAATCACAATTGATTTGCTGCGGAAGCTCCTCAACCAACTCAGCCTGGACCAACGGCGTCACCAGCAGGACAAGGGCATGCTCAAGGCGGCAATGGTGCTCGCCTTCTTCAGATCTCTTCGATGCGCTGAATTCACTGCGCCTCCAGCCGGGTTTGACCCTGCCACTCATGCCACGCGCCAGGATGTGACTCTGGATGTCACTTAAGGACGCACATATATCCGCTTCCACATCAAGCAATCGAAGACGGACCAACTTCGTCAGGGCCATGCAGATAATCGGTAGTACCACTTCACAACCTTGCCCGGTTGCCGCCCTCCTGGCATATTTTACAGTCTGTCCGTCTGACGCCACTGACGCACTCTTCCGCTACCGCCCTGGGAGACCGCTGACCAGGCAGGCACTGACAGAAAAGCTCCGACAGCTTCTCCCACTCACGGGAACACCCAATTCACGCGATTACGCTGGTCATTCGTTCCGCATCGGTGCCGCCACAACTGCAGCCATGGCGGGTACCCCGGACTGGCTAATCAGGGCAATGGGCCGATGGAGAAGCGACAGTGTCTTGCGCTACATCAGGTCAACCGACACAGACATGGCGCAGTTGACCCAAAAGCTATCAGAGGTACAAGCGCATCACACAACGCATGGAGGTATGTAAGAACCCGCCACGCGGGCACGCAACTCGCACCCATGCACGTACCCACAGGGCTGACCGTTTGGAACAGCACAGCAACTTGCTCTGCTAGGATTGTGCTGACAAACTGCGCTGATAGCAACAACGGTGTCATTCACGTGCATTGCAATGTGTCACAACTTAGCATGGAGGCTGGGCAACCATGGGCCAGCTATCTCCTCTCATCTGGCAATTATCACGGCCTTCGGCCATCACACTCATACTCCCACACTCCTGCCTCCTAACGGGCATTGCACTTCGTGCGTGGGCCGTCCACACTCCGTCCATTTCATGGGCGCCCATCTCATGGGCTGCACTTTGTGCGTGGACATACATACACACTATCATACAGGCCGTCCACACTCCGCCCAGTTCATGGGTGCCCATTCATGGGCTGCACCTCGTGTGCGTGGGCCGTCCACACTCCGTCCATTTCATGGGCGCCCATCTCATGGGCTGCACTTTGTGCGTGGACATACATACACACTATCATACAGGCCGTCCACACTCCGCCCAGTTCATGGGTGCCCATTTCATGGGCTGCACCTCGTGCGTGGACTATCCTACATGATTATCACATGCCAGATTCGGTTGCCCAGCACTCCATGAATCCTCCATATGATGTGTGCTCTCCACTGGTCTGCAATAGCGAGTGCATGCGTGTTAATAGCACATTAGAGCTTGCGGTAATGTAGGTTAACACATTGCACAAGCCACCACTTCACACGCGCTCCAGCGGCTTCCAAAGAGCCCGCAGATCCCACGCTATTCATTGATGCATGTCAAGTAACACGTACATGCACGCTGTGGTGGCATGTAACATGCGTACGCCGGAACTCACCTGAACTCGCCAGCCAACCAGCCATATGCGGCTGCAGCACACATCGGAGCTTGAACCCGTAACGCATACACCATACTTCGCGCTGGCCGTATTGCTACTTCATATTTGCTTTGCTTGGGTAGTGAGAAGAACACCGGTTTGTTCCTTTCTCACCCACCCACCTCTTCCCATCTATGAATGATATTGATATCCTTGATTCAACACAGGTATCATAATTCATACAAGACGAAAATAAATAGGAGTGCTGGGCCAGCTATCTCCTCTCATCTGGCAATTATCACGGCCTTCGGCCATCACACTCATACTCCCACACTCCTGCCTCCTAACGGGCATTGCACTTCGTGCGTGGGCCGTCCACACTCCGTCCATTTCATGGGCGCCCATCTCATGGGCTGCACTTTGTGCGTGGACATACATACACACTATCATACAGGCCGTCCACACTCCGCCCAGTTCATGGGTGCCCATTCATGGGCTGCACCTCGTGTGCGTGGGCCGTCCACACTCCGTCCATTTCATGGGCGCCCATCTCATGGGCTGCACTTTGTGCGTGGACATACATACACACTATCATACAGGCCGTCCACACTCCGCCCAGTTCATGGGTGCCCATTTCATGGGCTGCACCTCGTGCGTGGACTATCCTACATGATTATCACATGCCAGATTCGGTTGCCCAGCACTCCATGAATCCTCCATATGATGTGTGCTCTCCACTGGTCTGCAATAGCGAGTGCATGCGTGTTAACATATACTCTAGCTCAGGGTATATCCTACCAAGTATACATATATACTCTAGCTCAGGGTATATCCTACCAAGTATACATATACACTCTAGCTCAGGGTATATCCTACCAAGTATACATATACATATACTCTGGCTCAGGGTATATCCTACCAAGTATACATATACTCTGGCTCAGGGTATATCCTACCAAGTATACATATACTCTGGCTCAGGGTATATAATTGAACTCGGAACTCGGATGTGTATATACTGCCTCTTTTGTAGTGCTGGATGCGTTTCTAGGAACTTTCTACTGCTGTCTGTTTTGAATAGAATACACTTTGGGGGATTTCCGCTCTCCTTTAAAGTATCTGACTGGGAGAAGGACTGTGAGAATGACTGTGAGAATGTGTACTACGGGTGTATGGTAGTATTGCATTTTATTTTTGATATATCGTGTACGTATACTGGGTGGTGGCGGCTGCGGCGGTGCTGGTGTATCTGTGTTATTGTTAATATTGTTGTGTAAAATGCTTCATATTCTTGTGATGATGTCATTGCTCAGATCTCCCAGACGTATTGCCTCGTAGCAAGTGAGCAGCTTGCTGGGAACGTTCTGGATGATGACGTCCTGCAGTCCTACGCCACAGCATTGCAGCATGCTGAGAAGGCTGGCAATCTTAAGCTCCAGGTGTGCATTGTATTCATTGTATTCAGTGGCAGCCAACAGCTCAGCTATTTGTGCATGTGTACATGTGTTCAATTGATGATATGCTGATGTTAACATGCCACCGCTCTGGCAGCTCTATCCACGCTTTGGCCTTGATCCTGGAGCGTAGTGGTGTTCCTGTGCATGTGCAAGGGTCAGTCAGTCTGACTGTCTTTGACACAGGCCATGCTTTTTTCTTTCTTTTTTAAAGTGACAACCAGGCCCCCATCTCACAAACCTGTAAAGAGCTCCGCCTCCTGTGGCTCGGGCACGTTGCCCGGGAAGGATCAGATGCGGCCTCTTACAAGGCACTGCAGCTAGCCCTCAATACTTCGAACATCAAGCGCCCCTGTGGACGACCCCACAAGAGATGGGTCGACAACATTAAAGAAGACCCCAAGCCTCTGAATGTGCCGATTCAGGAATGCTTCAATCTCGTCACCAACAAGCAACTCTGGTTAACGATCATTGACAGATGACCCCCGTATGATTTGTTTATGCGGGCAATATGCGACCTGTTCATATTATTATTATTATTATTATTATTATTATTATTATTATTATTTAAAAAGGCGACGTGGAGACAATAATCTTAATAATGCAATGAATATAACTAAATGCGCACTCATATCACAACCATGGGGACGAATCATGTATTCCAGAACGTTTTCTTGTCACAATTATCAATGGAATTCGTGACTAAAGAGAATGATGAAACTACAATAGGATTTATACACTTGCAGTGGAACAGCGAGGATACAAGCATAGTAAGAAAGGCGGCTAGGTCCTCCCGACCAAAGCGTGGCCGACCACGTAAGCACCCAACTCCACTGTCCGTTCCGGCAGAGGCTTCTGCTCCACAAACGGTGTCTCGGAAAAACCAACACAGCACGCAGAAATTGGGAACAAACATTAATGTAAACAAAGACGAACACTGTGTCTTATCTTCATTATCAGCGAGTACCGGAACGCCGGACGCAGACAACCGCAACTCACCAAAGCTGAGAAGGAGCAAACGGCTGGCGGCAGCTCGGTTTGCAGAGGTGACTGGAAAGATGCATCGAAACTAGGGCTGAAACGATTATACCAATTACTCGGTAAGCGATCGATAATTCCTTATCAATCAAGTAATCGTTACGTTAAAGATTACTCGTTAGGAATTTTGAGTCCAAAAAGTACTGAAAACCCTCGTTTTGTGAAGTTCAAATCAGTTTCCGCTGTGTGTATGCAGTTGCCAGGGGCATGGTGCATATTCTGAGGTTAAATTGACTTCAAAACTGTCATGTTTTGGAGCTACCCTGCCACTAATGCAGATTTTTGGTATTATGAAGGCCTAGCTTTTGGAAACAGGATAATTTTTGCACAAAATTCTGACACTATTTGCTAAAGATTATAATCGATTACTCGATCGTTAAGCTAAAGAGTAATCGATAGGTGAAAATCCATGATCGTTTCAGCCCTAATCGAAACTCTCCGGATATGGATGATGCCAGCGGAAGAGTTGACGACTGTCAGGCGTTTGGCAATGGCAAGGGAAGACCGGTCAGCAAGAGAACGCGACGGCAGCTGGAGGAGGAGTGTGGAAGCGACGTGTGCAGTGACGATGATGAACCCGGTGGTCAGTTGCTGGGAGAGCCGACGACAGGTGAAGGTGGCAGCGATGATGAAGAGGACGATGACGATGATGACGATGATGGTGCAGATGGTGTGAAGGACGGTGGCGGTCAGAAACCAAGTGAAGGCGGAGGCGGTGAGAAGAAGAAGAATACATCGGCAATTAAATTGCATTTGTTGTCTAACCCCGTGTGTCGTGAAAGTTATGATGATTCTTGGTTCAGTGTTGTTCGTTCTGCAAGTAGTTTCAAGCAGTTGAAAGTTCTAGAAGCAGTCTACATTCGCATTCGTGATCCAAATCTTTGTAAACAAAAAGAAAATGTCACCGCACTTACGCTATTCCAGTAAATTCGCACTCACACACACTTACACATGCATGTCCATTGTCACACTGCACTTGCTGAATTTCCTATTATTTCTCACCTCACCTATAGTTTATTACCTGTGCAAATTGTTCCTAGGTTTGTGCTATTTTTCTTACTATGCTTGTATCCTCGCTGTTCCACTGCAAGTGTATAAATCCTATTGTAGTTTCATCATTCTCTTTAGTCACGAATTCCATTGATAATTGTGACAAGAAAACGTTCTGGAATACATGATTCGTCCCCATGGTTGTGATATGAGTGCGCATTTAGTTATATTCATTGCATTATTATTATTATTATTATTATTATTATTTAAAGTGACCAGAGCTTAGAGTGAAGCAATTCCACCTCCACCACATGCGCTCTCTGGCCGACCTGACACCAGCAACACCACTCCCAGTTTTGGATACTGACGAACTCCTGCCTGAAGTAACACCGCTAGCCCTCACACAGCTTTCATGCCACCCTCTCCTGGCATATATACCAGCATGGTCGGCACCCAATCTTCATGTTGCCTGATGATTGCGAGAGCATGAAACTTGACGTAGCAGCAAACAAGCCTTGATTGTCCTTGTTGTTCTGTTCTGTATTACTCTATGCCTCCGCGGTGTTGAGCACTGTCAGCACACTGGGTACATCCTCCGGTGAATTAGCTCCCACTTTCCGTGGTAGAGCACTCTTACCTTAGCTGTGCTACCCTAATAATGGACACCCCAAGGCGCGTCAACCTCGGATACTCTCTGAAGAATATCCCCTTGCCCAGCCACAAGGAGTACACACTACGTCTCATTGAAAGGACGGAACAACTCATAAAGAGGATGCGCTGGAAAGCACTAACTTAGTTATTCTACCTACGTGGTGACAGAAAAGAAGACGACCAAGAAGGAGAAAACTTCGGATTCAAAACAAGAAAATGCCCACCGCAAGTGGACGAGATGAAGAAATTTGAAGACGATATGTACGAGATGATTGGCAGCGTGAGCTACCGCAGCGTGCATGTCGAACTACAGGACAAGATGAAGGAAGACTTACAGACTATCAGCAGCTCCAACGACATAATCGTACCCGCAGACAAAACACGAAACCTGTACGAAATGCCGCCAGAAGACTACAAGAAGCTCCTTCACTACAACATCACAAGAAACTACCAAGCGGCACCAGATGGCGCCTACGACACCATCAACGACGAGGCCAAAACTATCGCTGCTGATAAGGGCCTGGAGGACCGCATCAACACCATGGCAAAGGCAGAAGCTTTCGTCACCATCAAGGGCCACAAAGAAAACTTTCCTAGGAACATGCCATGCCGCTTAATTAACTCTGCGAAGTCGGAGATAGGCGTTATCAGCAAAACGATACTAAGCGGCATAGTGGAAGCGCTGCAGGACAAACCCAACATCAACCTATGGAAAAACACATCCTCCGTCATAAACTGGTTCAAGGCAATCGAGGAGAAGGCTAGCCACACGTTCGTGATTTTTGATATAGTGGATTTTTATCCGTCTATTTCCGAAAACTTGCTGCGCCTAGCCCTCGCCTATGCTATGCAGTTTGTGAATTCCTGACCGTGACGCCGACATAATCCTACACGCAAGGCAGTCAATCCTATTCGGAGCTAACCGAACATGGGCAAAGAAAAACAGAGACGGGCTGTTCGATATTACCATGGGCTCCTTCGATGGAGCTGAAGCATGTGAACTGGTCGGCGCCTTCCTCCTGAGTAAACTCGAACAGCACTTCAGCAGCAGCTCAGTAGGCCTCTACAGAGACGACGGGCTTGCCGTCCTCCGAAACGCCACTGGCCACAGTATGGACAAAGTAAGGAAAGCTGTCATCGACACCTTCAAGACGCTGGGGCTAAAAATCACGATAGACGTCAACCTGAACGCCATTAACTACCTAGACATCACAATGAGCCTCTCCACCGGAACTTACCAACGGTACCGAAAACCCAACGACACCCCACTGTATGTCAACGTCCACTCCAATCACCCACCGCAAGTCCTTTAAAAGAACATCCCAGCTGGCGTTAACAACCGACTGGCAAGCATCTCCTGCTCAGAAGCGGTGTTCCGTGGCGCTATTCCCGTCTACGCGGAGGCCCTCAACACCAGCGGCCACCCTAGCACGCTAGAGTTCAAACAGAAAACGAGCAAAAAGAAGAAAGGGAAGAGGAACGTGATATGGTGCAACCAGCCCTACAGCCGTAACGTGAAAACAACCATCGGTGGAAGATTCCTTGCCCTCATCAAGAAGCATTTCCCCCCACAGTCGAAGCTCGGAAAAAATATTCACAAAAAAACCATCAAAATCGGCTACAGTTGCATGCCAAATATGGCTGCACACATCAAAAGCCACAACAAAGCGGTTCTCCACCCGCAAACGAAAAAACCGGAAAAGCCCTGCAACTGCCAAGACAAGCCATCCTGTCCACTCAACGGTGAATGCCAAACCACGGAGCTGATCTATGTAGCATCCATAACGTCAGGGTCCACCAAGAAGGAATACACTGGTATGTCGGTGCCACCGTTCAAGTCACGCCATGCCAACCACATGACAACAACAAAATACGAAAAGTACTCCAGCAGCACTGAATTCTCCAACTACATCTGGAACCTGAAGAAATCCAACGCCCAGTGCGAAGTTGAATGGGGGATAAAAGTCTTAAAAGATCGCGCCCAAGCATACTCCAACATCACAAAGCGGTGTTCCCTCTGAACCAGAGAAAAGTACCACATCCTGAACACGCTAGGGTCACCATCCAGCCTCAACAAGCGCTCGGAAATGGTGTCCAAGTGCCGACACGAGAACAAGTGTCTCCTAAAATACCATGGTGTCACCTAAATATGTCTCCACAGTGTCCTGCCTACACCATTCACGTTCACACACCTTGCTCATAACACCCTGTCCACACCAGCCATATACATGTACACTGCGCTAATATCACACTGCTAGCCCTATAGCCTCCTGCCTACAACATCCACACACATTGCTCACCACCTGCCCACACCAGCCACACATTCTGTGCTAACATTGCACTGCTAGCCCCTGACTTCAACAACCACACACTCTGCACACAGCCTCCTGGCTGAAGTAACACCGCTAGCCCCCACATTCTCACACAGCTTTTCATACCACTCTCTCCTGGCATACCGTAATGTCGCGCATAAAAGCAGGTGCTTACGGCCGTATAAGCCGGGGTTCAAATCATGCTTCTATTCAAGGTATGCTTCTATTCAAAACATGCTTCTACGTCAACATGATCAGTCTGCACTGTGCAGTGCTTACTGCCGCACATGTACGTGCACAATGTACTTTGCAGGGAGCGGCTTCTATTCAAACCATGCTTCTGTGTCACGACACGCTTCAAAAAATTGGCTTCTATTCGAGTCCTGCTTCTATACAGGTCATGCTTTTATACAGGTCATGCTTTTATACGCGACACTACAGTATATACGGGCATGGTCGGCGGCACCCAATCTTCATGTTGCCTGATGATTGCGAGAGCATGAAACTTGAAGTACCTTGAAGTGCCGTAAATAAGCCCTGGGCGTATACAGAACAAGGGTATGAAAACTGGGCGTATATTTGGGCATGGACATTATTTCAGGATTGGGCCTATACAAGGTGCACATTGCATCGCTTGCGTCTCATAAGCATGCATACGCATACACAGGTACAGTATCACCCTGGGCGATTTTTGGGCATGGGCGAACTCACGGGCTTTGAGTGTAGATGTCGATTCGATGGGCGCTATTTCGGGCATGGGCGTTATTTCGAGTGGGCGAATACACGGAACTTTACGGTAGCAGCAAACAAGCCTTGATTGTCCTTGTTGTTCTGTTCGATACTGACGAAATAGATAAATTCCTTCATTTCGACCACTCCGGTGTCATCAGTGAAGGTTGAGAATAATGAATGGCTAGAATTAATCTGAAAGAACAGTTTTATTCATAGAAGAGATAGAAGAGAGCGCATGTGGTGGAGGTGGAATTGGTTCATTGATAAACAGGCCGAAAGCTGCTGCTTACCCTTTGAGAGCTTTGAGTGTACCGGTAATTTTTAAAACTTGCGTTGGCATGTGTGAGACCGAATGTTGCAGAAGAGGTGTGTGGTCTTGTGTGGTTATCGGTAATGTACACTCATGACCTGTCGTCATTTTGCGAGAGCTTGGGCAATTCACTTGTCCAGGCAAGAAGGCAGCAGTGCCTGTTCATTCTGGTGAAGTAAAGTAAAATAATACCATCCAACCAACCATCCAGCCAACCAACCAGCCAACTTGTATGAACACGTCAAGTGAAACATACATGTATGAGCACTGTTTCTGTGTAGCACTTCAGTGCATACCTTTGTAGCACTTCAGCGCATGCCTTTGTAGCATTTCAGCGCATGCCTTTGTAGCACTTCAGCGCATGCCTTTGTAGCACTTCAGCGCATGCCTTTGTAGCACTTCAGCGCATGCCTTTGTAGCACTTCAGCGCATGCCTTTGTAGCACTTCAGCGCATGCCTTTGTAGCATTTCAGCGCATGCCTTTGTAGCACTTCAGCGCATGCCTTTGTAGCACTTCAGCGCATGCCTTTGTAGCACTTCAGCGCATGCCTTTGTAGCACTTCAGCGCATGCCTTTGTAGCACTTCAGCGCATGCCTTTGTAGCACTTCAGCGCATGCCTTTGTAGCACTTCAGCGCATGCCTTTGTAGCACTTCAGCGCATGCCTTTGTAGCACTTCAGCGCATGCCTTTGTAGCACTTCAGCGCATGCCTTTGTAGCACTTCAGCGCATGCCTTTGTAGCACTTCAGCGCATGCCTTTGTAGCACTTCAGCGCATGCCTTTGTAGCACTTCAGCGCATGCCTTTGTAGCACTTCAGCGCATGCCTTTGTAGCACTTCAGCGCATGCCTTTGTAGCACTTCAGCGCATGCCTTTGTAGCACTTCAGCGCATGCCTTTGTAGCACTTCAGCGCATGCCTTTGTAGCACTTCAGCGCATGCCTTTGTAGCACTTCAGCGCATGCCTTTGTAGCACTTCAGCGCATGCCTTTGTAGCACTTCAGCGCATGCCTTTGTAGCATTTCAGCGCATGCCTTTGTAGCATTTCAGCGCATGCCTTTGTAGCATTTCAGCGCATGCCTTTGTAGCACTTCAGCGCATGCCTTTGTAGCACTTCAGCGCATGCCTTTGTAGCACTTCAGCGCATGCCTTTGTAGCATTTCAGCGCATGCCTTTGTAGCATTTCAGCGCATGCCTTTGTAGCATTTCAGCGCATGCCTTTGTAGCATTTCAGCGCATGCCTTTGTAGCACTTCAGCGCATGCCTTTGTAGCACTTCAGCGCATGCCTTTGTAGCACTTCAGCGCATGCCTTTGTAGCACTTCAGCGCATGCCTTTGTAGCACTTCAGCGCATGCCTTTGTAGCACTTCAGCGCATGCCTTTGTAGCACTTCAGCGCATGCCTTTGTAGCACTTCAGCGCATGCCTTTGTAGCACTTCAGCGCATGCCTTTGTAGCACTTCAGCGCATGCCTTTGTAGCACTTCAGCATATGAATACAAGATATGCTACTCTATCTCTTATTGCGTATTATGTCTATCATTTGTTGCATCACAGGCTTCCATACTGAAGAGTCAGGCGGACACATTGGACAAATTTGGTCACGCTGACGCAGCTGCAAAGTTGCATCATCGCCATCAAGAAATATCTGCTGACTTGGAATCCAGTAGCGATGACTCATCTAATGCAGCCAACGATGAGGAGTCCAGTGAACTGTGTCTCTCAGACAGCAGCGGTATGTGTGTGCATATGTCTGTGTGTGCGTGTGTATGTGCATGTGCGTGTTTGTGTGTGTGTGTCTGCCTGTATGTGTGTGTGTGCGTGTGCGCGCGCACATGAACGTGTGCATGGGTTTCCTCTGTTTTATTTGTACTCCCTTATTGTGGCTGGTGGTTGTGGTGCAGCAAGCTTGAAACCTGCCTTATTTGGCATTCCAACTACAGTCGACTTCTGATAGTTATAACGAACACCATTGTGCAGGAGAATTAGTTCTTTATAGCCAAAGTTCGTTATGACAGAAATGCACTCACATTATCATGATTGGCATGTGGCCCATGACCACCGTATGAGTGCACTTGGTTTACATGCGGCCATTTAAGATCTGGTTCGTTACAAACGAAAAATGGTTTGCTACGAAGGGTCAAATTGGCATGGGTTCAAACAGGGACATGCACAACAGTTCTCTATGTCACGAAATTCCCTATATGCGAGTTGGTTGATGTTCTCTGTGATTGCAGAGAGTGAAGTTGGTTGATGTTCTCTGTGATTGCAGAGAGTGAAGTTGGTTGATGTTCTCTGTGGTTGCAGAGAGTGAAGTTGGTTGATGTTCTCTGTGATTGCAGAGAGTGAAGTTGGTTGATGTTCTCTGTGATTGCAGAGAGTGAAGTTGGTTGATGTTCTCTGTGATTGCAGAGAGTGAAGAGGGTGCTGCACAAGTACTGCCCAGACGCCAACAACCCAGGGTGCAGCTGACCAAGGTGAGCGTGTCTAATTGACAGTAGTAACTGTACACTGATTATGCGACGTGCTGCGCTACTTTCTTGTTTCATGCTGCCACATTACTACCATCTACTGTGGCACATGTTGAAATTTTTTGAATAGGGAAACATCCCCGACACAAGCAGTTTCACAGAACACATATTTTGATTTTACAAATCTTTTTCAAAGGACTGACCGGTTTCGCTGTCTAAGGCAGCTCATCAGAGTGAAGAGAAATGTAAAAACACAACAGAATTTATGCAAGCGAGAGAGGCACTAAAATTTACTTTTTGAAGTACATAGATACAAGTAGGCCGCCAAAATGCTAGGGGCCCCGAGAGCGTTGGGAGTTCCTAATTTGGAAGTGTTGCATGCTGAAATTCTGTTAGGCCACACTGAAAAAAGTCTGTGGTTCGACTCACCCCACCGACCGTACATTTTTCAGCCCGACCGTAACTTTTTTTCGGCGGGCTGTCGTGTGACTGACGTACGTGGACTGAACACGTCTACGTGCTGTGCAGCGTGAGTCTGCGGACGCAGGCGGCTCCTTTTGGACTTGACTTGTAAGTTGTAGTTGTACTGCAGTGCAGTGCAGTGAGTGGTACGACTGCTGCCTTGTGCTGGTAGTAGAGTCTACTCGATACGACCACCGGCAGACTGGCGAGACTTATTTTGAAGTGACCGTCCGGTTGAGAGTGATTGCCTCGTTCCAGATTAAGGACGGCCTTCTGTTTTGGGATGAAGGACAGACGAGATTGATACAACATGTATGGCATAACACTGCGTAATAATGCCGATGTACTGGGTGTCTAAAGGCAGTACAGTGTATTTACATGTACTAAAAAATATATTTAAAAAAAAATCCGCCCGCCCGTAAAAAAAATGTCCATGTTAGTCGAACCACACACCTTTTTTAGTTTGGCCTTATTAAATGTGTATATGTGTAATAATGAGGGTGGGCCTGAATTCCAATATGGATGAATGCCTATATCATCCAGGAACGTGCTTTGTAATTATGAACAAGTTGTGTGTTGTACGTGAAAAAAGCGTGCAAGCCCAATTTGTACATATATCTGTCTGGTAATGTGTCTAGACTTATTTTTGGCAGTGTCAATATATTGACACTGCTGACCTCTTGTTTCATGCCGCATTGCTACGATCTACTGTGGCACATGTTGAAATATTTTAACCCCTTGTTTCATGCTGCCGCATTACTACGATCTACTGTGGCACATGTTGAAATGTTTAACCCCTTGTAATTGTGTCATGCCGCATTACTACGGTCAAGAGTACATACCCCCAAGAGTGTGCAACTGCCTGCACAACCTCTATGTAGTGCTGCGACGGCAGAACTTCACATCACGTGACATGGTTCAAAAGGTTATACTGGAAAACAGTGCAAAGTGATCACAAGAGAGTTGTACCCAAAGCTGGGTTTCGTACAACCCTGTATCAATCATGCACAGAGTGCAAATAATGTGTACGGGTTCATCACGTGATGTGAAGTTCTGCCGTCGCAGACCCCATAGCTGGAGTTGCACACTTTTGGGGGTTATGTACTCTTGCTATGATCTACTGTGGCACATGTTGAAATGTTTTAACCTCTTGTTTCATGCCGCATTACTACAATTTACTGTGGCATATGTTGACATGTCAACGAGCCTGTAAAGGTGAGTTCGCGCCTGTAATGGGGTATTCACACGACAGGCACTTGTACGTTTTACAGGGAGTGGCATACGAGAAAAGTGACTGTGTGGATTCACACAGCTGCACTCGACGACAGGCACGTTTGCATTTTTGAATGCTTCACCGACCAGTAGCCATGGGTATTTCAAATTTTCAAAACACACATACGATAATTATCATGCTCTAAAGAGCCGCGTAAAAATCAAGTCTTGTTTCGCGCTTTTTGGTGTAAATGTACTCGTGCACGCCACGATTATCGTGAAAGTGGGCCCCCAGCTCGCTTTCACGTTTCAGCCACTTTCAGGCACTTTTCTCGTTCACAGGTAAAATACCATAGCAACTTTCCGGTGCACGTGGATTTGCCTGTCGTGTGAATACCCCATAAAGGTGATTATCACTCTTCTATATCGACCTCCACTAATTCTCGTGATCCTTGACTGGTCCTATCTCTTAATTTGCTAAATCCTATATATAGGATTTTGGTCATATTTTTCAACTCAAAATGGGTGTGGCATGAGAATAGCAAAAAGTATGTGACCAATTCTTCCTTGCTAGGTCTTAGGGAGCATCTCATAAGTTCGCATTTATTTTGCAAACGTAACGCATTTCGAATAGACTTTACCCCCCTACCTCCCCCCTCTATTCGAAAGTCTTATCGCACATTTTCTGTGTTTAGAGAGGTTTTGCATTCCGAATTTCGGTACAGCGTTCTTCGGTCATTTGTCGAACATCAAAATGTCGAATTTTCGCACCAACGTCTGTTTTGCAAGTCGAAAATGATGTGTTTTCATTTCGTGAGCCCCAGCATCAGCAACGTCCTGTCCCGTGCTCCATTTCTTGCTGATTCCAACGAACTTTGATCGCCCAAAGAGTCGAGGGCCAAACCTGCCCCCTCAGTCGCCTCAGAAAAACCAACTCCATGCCCAAGTCAAATGTTATGCGTGTCGCCCTAGTCTTTTCAGCCACACAGATGACGGTGAGGACACTCCAGGCGAAAGAGAGTAGACAGGCAGTGGAGAGGAGCAATCAAAGGTAGCTGACGATGCTATGTCGCCAAAGACGCCTGCCAAGCGATGCCGAGATAAGAAACCTCTTTGAATAAATCACGCGCTAGCGCTCTTCTACAAGAAAATGCATCCGAAAAATATTTTCGGCAAAGTGAGCTTTTTCCGAACAAACACGCCGAATCTTCCTGTGCATTTTCGACCTCGCTCCCGCGTGCCGAATCTTTTTGCCGAATTTCGGAATGCAAAACCTCGCTTTTATCTACTGTACACATCCATGCCCCATGCTATGATATGCGCTTATGTACATGATTGTACAATCAGTCATGTACATGTACACGAATGTTTTGCTAGAGCGGTCGTGAATGGCATACAGTAGTACCGCATTTTAATACTGAGTACAAAGTACAATCAATGACATGTACACGCAAATAAGCATAGTTCCTCCACAACAACTGTACTGCTGTAAACGCTGGCCAGGTACACAGTTTGATCAGGCTGGTGTGACATTTGACACCTCTGAGTAGCCTGCATGCATGTAGCTGATCTGCAAACACAGGTAGATCTCCACCTAAACACACTCATTTGCTGCAGGGATCTAGCACTAGTAGTACAGTAGATTGTACAGTTCCAGAAAATGTGCGAACAGTCATTTTTCTATTCGAAATGGCCGCTACCCCCCTACCCCCGTTTCGAAATGCGTTACGTTTAGAAACAAAATGCGAACTTATGAGATGCTCCCTTAGTAGATATCGAGAGTTGAACGAAAGAGCTTGGAAGCTCAGGGCCCTACGCTATGCTTTTTTGCCTTGATGACCTAGACAAAAAAAAAGCATAGGGATGTTATAAATTCTTTAAAAAATCCTTTTTTTTAAAACCTGGGATTCGAACCCGCACTATCGCGCGCCCTGCATGCATCCCCCGATACACTTCGCATACATACTAATTCTTTGTATATACCATACTAATTCTTCCAAGTTGTTTCACATTGTGATCTTGCATTTGAAAGCCCTATTTGAATATGCATTGTGGCCAGCCGTCTTTGATGGCACGGTACGGTAGGGGATAGGTACGGGACAGGTACGATCGAGGGTAATACGACACCGTCTAGCTGCCTGCAATATTCAAATAGGGCTTTCAAACGCAAGATAATAACGTGAAGCAACTTGGAAGAATGGGTATGAATGCGAAATGTATGGGGGAATGCACGTAGGGCGATAGTGCGGGTTCGAATCCCAGGATATGCCTGAAAAAAAATAGGAGAATTGAAAAATTTATAACATCCTATGCTTTTTTGCCGTCAGATACGGATAGCGCCAGGCGTGACACAAACAAACACACAAACAAACAAATACCAAACGAGAGAGCTTGGAAGCTCAGGGCCCTACGCTATGCTTTTATGCTTTTTTGCCTAGCTCATCGTACATGTTATAAGAACTGATGGAAATGTCTTTTTCCTAGGGCTGAAACGATCGTGGGTTTTCACCTATCGATTACTCTTTAGCTTAACGATCGAGTAATCGATTATAATCCTTAGCAAATAGCGTCAGAATTTTGTGCAAAAATTCTCCTGTTTCCAAAAGCTAGGCCTTCATAATACCAAAAATCTGCATTAGTGACAGGGTAGCTCCAAACCATGACAGTTTTGAAGTCAATTTATATGCACCATGCCCCTGGCAACTGCATACACACAGCGGAAACTGATTCAAACTTCACAAAACGAGGGTTTTCAGTACTTTTTGGACTCAAAATTCCTAACGAGTAATCTATAACGTAACGATTACTTGATTGATAAGGAATTATCGATCGCTTACCGAGTAATTGGTATAATCGTTTCAGCCCTACTTTTTCCGTTGATTGGCCACATCACTGTATTGCAAAAACGTTTCAATCGGTTTGAATATTATGAGTTAGGCAAAAGTATTTGCAGAATTTATTGCGGATTGTTATTTCTCTAATAATCATCTACTTTTTGGTTTGCTCCTTCTTTTCTTTTTATCTCCTTATACTGTAAATCAACAAATTTTGGCCGATGAGAAAATAGAAACCTCTCTATTAGAGAGGTTAAGATGCACGTTATTTCCGAAGTGACGCTCAATTTCACGTCAAATTTGAAATCGATCGGTATTTTTGCTCTCACATGCATCCATTGCTCAATCATGCATCATTTGCCTATATGACAAACTTTGGCCTGCGATTTACTTTGGCCGGTTGGTACCATGTACCAAGCGGCGAAATCAGCGAAATTAAATCGCCAGCGAAAATTAGTTGATTTTAATACAGTAAGGCCACACCAAGTTTTTTCATTG